ACCGCTCGAACTCCCCATGGGGCGGTAGAGCTTTACTTGGTAGTCCTGATTTTGGATTGCCGCGATTTGCAAAATCCTCAGAAGCAGACAGTAGGCTCTGAGAGATTTCAGAATTTTCTGGGTCCTTCTTTCCCTGAAGACCTTCTCGGCCGTCTGGCAGTAACAAGAATAACAACGGTTGAGAGTGTGGGTCAGACCACCTGGGTTCATATCCCAACCAGCTCTGTGAATTTGGGCAAGTTACTTAATCTTTATGAGCTCGATTTTCTCACCTGCAAGATGGGTTTGACAATAACGTCTCCACAGTGGAGGACAGTGATAATGCAACCTCAGGTGAGGGTTAGAAAGTCCCTCTGAAAGTGCTCTGTTCTACACTTGAAACGAAACTGCCTCTATGAATTTAATCAAAAAGTATGACTTAAAAATACACAGAAGAATTTGTCTCCCTTCATCCTCTTCTCCTAAGAGTGGAGGCCTCTCTAGGAGTTTGTTGTTGGTGATGATGAAGATAACCATGATTCTATAATGCGGTCAGTTTGTAATCTTCCCCTTACATCATTCATTCAACCAACATGCAGAATGGAATGCCTGTTGTATGGCAGGTACTAGAATGAAAGCTCTCAAATACTTCATCTCCCTTTTCCCATTAAGGATTCTATTTCTCACCATTTTGATGATGAGCAAACTGAAGCAGGAGAAAAGTGAGATTTATACAAGGTTATCCAGTTATCCATGGCACAGCAAGAATTCAGAGTTCCTGAACTCTTAAAGTTATTCCTAGACCTAGTAGTTTATTTCCAGGTCATGTCTGAGAATTGGTCTGAGGAAAGAGCCAGTTTCTTCATCTATCTCCTGGGGAATAGATTTGGAGACCCAGTGGGGTCTGGAGCCCACACAGCCATTTGTTTTTTTTTTTGTTTGTTTGTTTGTTTTTAAAGAAAGAAAGAATATTCTTTTTTAAAAAAGATAGAGAGAGAATTTTTTTTTAATATTTATTTTTTAGTTATCAGCGGACACAACATCTTTGTTTGTATGTGGTGCTGAGGATCGAACCCGGGCCGCATGCATGCCAGGCGAGCTCGCTACCACTTGAGCCACATCCCCAGCCCCCACACAGCCATTTGACTCAGCTTCCCAGAGCAGATTTTGGCTGCTGTCCAGTGGCATGCCTGTGCAGGGTACTAGGCAAGGGCCATAAGTGTTGATTCTGGCATTGGGCCAGAGCCTCCAGTTATTTTTCTAAGAGGCCTTTGGCCTCTGATTACAGAGATTATTGCTATCACCAGGGTTGTTATTCAAAAGAGACAAACTGAGTAGGAACCAGGAGTTGCCCAGTTTACCCAAGTGTGCTCTGCCTCTCTTGGTCATGTGAGCTCCCCGAGACTCCAGAGAAATATTCACCTGGAAAACTGTTGGAACTAACTTCATATGTTAACAAATAATGCTCAATTGTGCACCATATTTATATATTGCAAATTCATTGCTGGGTGAGTCACTTGTGAAATATATTTTTGTTAGAGCTCTATAGTTCTTATTGCCTGATTCAGAACAAGTAGTACTTTGTGATTTTCAACATTTTGATACTTACTTTGGGTGTTCATTTTTAACCCAGTTTGTGTCAAATTGAAGTGTTTTGCAATTAGTCTTTACTCATTTGTGCACAGACCCCCACAATTATCTTACGTCTGTTCTGAAATGAGAGATCTATTTGTAGTCTTTTAATAGCCCTATGGTTTCATTTTCCAGTTTTAAAAAAGTACCATTGTTCAAGTATATACTGACCTTCCTAGATTAAGGTCTTGTCCAGGAAATTGGGGGGAAAGTAACTATTGAACACAGTGAATGAGATAGGAAACATTCTTCTGATAATATAAGTGTTCTGATTCACTACTTCATCAGTTTTCCCAAAGTTTACCATCTAGTCCTACCTGGAATACCCCTATTTTTATTCTCAGTCTCATTCTGCTGTATGAATCCCTGGGTGGGAGGCAGAGCCAAAAGTAGGGTGCTTCAAAATCTGGAGGTGCCAAGCCCTTCCCAAGTTTCATGGAGAGTATTGAAGATAGAGGCTCTGACTCTCCCAGATGGTTTCTTCTTTCTTTCTTTTTTGTTTTGTTTTGGTACTAGGGATTGAACTCAGGGGCACCCGACCACTGAGCCACATTCCCAGCCCTATTTTGAGTTTTATTTAGAGATAGGGTCTCACTGAGTTGCTTAGCTTCTTGTCATTGCTGAGGCTGGCTTTGAACTCGATCCTCCTGTCTCAGCCTCTGGAGCCGCTGGGATCACAGACATGTGCCACCACACCGGGCTCCAGATGGTTTCTCCTTGGTAGGTTTGTAACTCAGCTGGCTGGAGGCCATCCAATCAAGGCCTTGCAGCCCTGACAGAATTGTGGAGTCCCCTGGCTGGAACTATCTGGGAAGTCAGGCTCCAGCCATTTCCTCCCCCAAACAGCTGCAGCTACTTGATCCTGTTGCCTTCTTTCCCAGGGTGGGCGTGGGGGTGGGGGTGTGACTGAGTCAGAGGAAGGACATCACCTCTTCTACCACCCAGACCAGCCTAGTAGTCCATCCTAGGCTTGGTCATTAGGGTGCTCTAGAGCAGTGTGTTCTGACTTCCACCAGACCTTGACCCCATAATCCGCTGTAGCAAAGACAATATCTGGCCTCCAGAGGAGATTGAGGAGGGAGAGGGGGAGCTACTAGTTGGGGATTTCCTAGCACCTAACTAGCCAGACCTGTCCACACCCTCTGCTCCTAGGCCCTGGCAGACAAGCAGGGTCATCCTGCTTCCATATAGACCTAGCCTTGTCATGGAGCATTGACTCTCAATACCAGGGCAGGCCCTCAGAGCTGACTTGATTCCCCTGAGGTCCCTCAGCTGGTGTGAGACAGACCCAGGGCTGAAGCCCAGGCTTCTTACTCCTGAGCCAGTGCTTTGTGTGCTGATCTGGGTTGCAGTTCTACATTTCATTGGTGGAAGCAGGGGATTTCCTTTAAAGTGCCATCTGCTGTGGTTGAAGGTTGGGGGCACTTGGGGGATTCATCCAGTAAACAGCCTTGACACCAGTGAATAGGCTGAATTTTATGACTCCACCCTGTGGGATAATTCATTGTTCTTCCCTTCCTATTGGCAGGGCTTCCCCTTTGTGAATTCTATAGGAATGGTGAAGTGCTGCTCATGGAAACATGGAGAAATTGCTCTGAGCTGCTTGGCTATATGGCAGCTGTGGTTAACATCAGGAGTTGCAGTCACAGAACAGCTTCAGGCCTTGGCTCAACCACTGCTTCACAATTCTGTTTCCTTTTGCTCCTCTGCGCAGTGGGATGAAAATAAGTGTCTAGCCTAATTCCTAGGATTGTGTTGATGATTAAATGATACGTACACATTGCTTGATACAGAACATACACCCCATTGTTAGCTTTCCTATCACCTGAAAGTATTCCTTGGTCACTCTAGTCTTCTTGTCATAGTGTGTTCAATACCATCAGCTCTGGGGACTTAATTCTCACACATATTAACTGGATTTCCATAATAGTGCGTAAGGATTTTACAGTTTCCATTTTCTAGGAAAAACATAATTTCTATGAAATTAATTTATCTGGATGTCTTTTTGTGGGTTTATTTTAGTTATTAAATCTTTTCAAAAAGAGAGTGGGGTTCTTAAGACAGAAACTGGGACTGGGCGAGTGTGGAAATGACTGGAGTCATGAGGGTGGTTATTGAGGTGAGGTGGAGGGAAGGCCAGGGGAGGGAGGGTGTAATGATTCTGGGAGTTTGAATGGGGTGGAGAGATGACTCAAACTCTCCAGAAAAAGAGAACAAAAGGCTGGTTAGGATGAGGGTTGCTTCTGCAAGTGGGTCGAGGGTAGGAAACTAGAATTGCTTTTATTTGATTCTGTACTGTGTGCCTCTTTTACATTGAGTATGTAAATAACTTTACTTGAATATATTTTTACTTTACTTTCCTCCTTTGCGGCTGGCTGCTGGTTGACAGCCTCTTCTGTGGGCAGCTGTGAAGGAGGGCCACTCAGGCCCTGGGGAAGACCAGGACTTGGTCTTCCCTACCCTGTTAAGTCTGGGCTGGGAGGGGAACCTAGACCTGTCCTTAGCCCATGGCTCTCGGCACATGGCTTAGAGGAAATGGAGGATACATATCACAACTCTCTCCCAGGTACAAAGATTAGGGAGGCCAAAAAAGAGGAAATTTCCACTTATTTAGCTCTTATTGATTACTAGATTCATTTAATTCGTATTACAATCCTGAGAAGTGGGTATTTACATTTAAGGGACAGGCTCAGAGACTGAATAACTTGCCTAAGGTCACAGACCTAGGAAGGTGGCAGGGCTGGGATTCAAACCCAGTCCTATGTCATGCCAAAGTTCTTGGTCTTTCCTGTCTCCAAGCTGTTTTCCAATCCCATAGCCTTTCCAGGCTGTACTGGAGACAGGATAAGGTGGGGAGCTTCTTATTTCCTCATTATTATTCAAAGTCAAATATCCAGAATCTAGGAAGATATTTTCATTTCCTGGATGGGAGACATTGACACAAAGCCTGACTTGTGTTGAACTCTTTAAGTCAATCTCTGTCCTTAACAGTATATTCTGACCTTTCCAGCCTTCTCTTCTGTTCCCATCTTCCCCCACCCTGAGTGCTTTGTACTATGGTTAGATCTGATTGGTCTGTTACATACTTTTTGTTAAATTATATGGACTTGGTTCATGCCCCAGGTCTTGAAAATAGGATGTGGAATGTTTATTTTCAATTTGTAAAATTTGAAAAGCAGAATCCAGGTTGAACACCCCAATGTGAAAGTCTGAATGCCTCCAAATCCAAAAGATTTTGAGTGTTGACATGATACCACAGTAAAAACTTTCATACCATGAAACCATTACATGCACAAAATTATTTAAAATATTGTATAAAATTACCTTCAGTCTTTATGTGTAAGACATGAAACAAATGAATTGTGTGTTTAGACTTGGGTTCTGTTCCTAAGATACTTCATTATTTAGCTGTAATTATTTCAAAATTTGAAAAACTCAAAATCTCAAGCATTTCAAATAAAGAATAGTCAACCTATGGTAGAACGCTGAGCACTGTTCTAAATGCTGTGTCTCTGTATCATCCCTACAAAGTTAGTACTGGTACTAGCAGCTGAAACTTGGAGGGCCAGCCTGCAAGTAGTAAAGTGTGTTTCCAGTCAGGGTAGGCTCCACATCCTCTTTATCTCTGAGTGATAACCTGGGCCTTCATATCAGAGATGTCTAAATCTAGTTCCAGTTGCACAACCACGGGTGCCATAACTTCTCTGTTCCTCAGATTTCACCCTCGATGAAATGAGGGCTGCTGTGTTTATTATACTTAATTAATGTTATAGGAATAAAGCTTCTATAGCACAGCCTGTTACAATGGTAAGTGCTCAACAAATTTGAGCTGTTACTGGGCATCCTGGTGTTTCCCTGGATTGAGAGTACTCTTCAAGTGCTCCTGGCTCTGTGCTTACCCATGGCCTTGACAGCAAGTCATCTAACCTGAGACACACTTCATTAAAGGGGATGAAAAGTAATTCTTATCTCACTAGTAAATGAGATGATAATCGTATTTGTCATATAGCACTTAAATAAGTTTGGCTGTCAGCCTTAATACCATTTCTCCAAGGTGCCCTGGGAAATTAAGTGTGATTTTTACAGCAAGACTTACTTGTTTGAATCCTGGAGAGCAGAAATACTGGAAGCCCTGGCATTAATCAGGCCCCCAGCTTGGAAACAGCCTCTTCAGCACTGATGTTTCTATGATTTCCATCCTCAGAGTGCCCACAATGGGCACCCCAGCCTCTGTGGTGAGTGAGCCGCTCCCTTGGCAAGCCCCCATTGAGGCCCGGGGTCGTAAACAGGCCTCAGCCAACATCTTCCAGGATGCTGACCTGCTGCAGATCCAGGGCCTGTTTCAGCGCAGTGGGGACCAGCTGGCCGAGGAGCGGGCCCAAATCATCTGGGAGTGTGCAGGGGACCACCGAGTGGTGGAGGCCCTAAGGAGGCTGCGCAGGAAGAGACCCCCAAGGCAGAAACCCCTGGCTCACTCATTGCACCACTGCAGCCGGCTCAGGTGGGTACTTGGGACTGGAGGGCTGAGGGAAAGGGTGCTAATGATGCCAGCCTCACTATGTTCTGGCTGCATGACCTAGAACCAGTTGCTTGGCTTCACTTTACCATGAGTCCTGTTAAGTGGTTTTAATGTCTACACAGTGCCACCACCTGACAGGCACTAACCACTTCTGTTACTGCTGTCAACTCCTGAAGGTGCCTGGGTCCAATCAGCACCTCCTTGCTTTGCCTTGATTCTTGGCCAGGTGGGAGGGAGTATTATTACAGTTCATAATTCTTTTTACCTCTAGTAAAATAGGTAACATTCAAAAGTAAGACTGGTTAAGACCTTAGCTGTGGGAGTAGAGAATGTTCTGGGGATATACTGCAGGACATCATGGGTTACAAGTTGTAGAAACTTCACCTTGAGATAGCATCTCCCCAATTTCTCTAGTCATCCACCTCATTGCCTAGGTCACAAGAACTCCGGTCTCATTTTGCTCTAAACAGTGTTTTGTAGTCCATTGTGACGAACATCTCCTGAAGCCCCCATCTTGTCCTCCTTGGCTTATCATACCTTTGCTCCCAGCAGAATCCCAGAGCCCTGCTCTCCACTGGCCAATGCACAGAGCAGTGCCCCTGAGACAGCCTCCAGTGAGCAGCATTGGAACTCCAGGAGGACAAGTGCCAGGATCCGCCGGAACTGGAGGAAACCAAGCCCCACAGGCTACCTTCACCAGATCAGACACTGATCCCAGGCTGGGAATGGCAAGACCTTCCCCAGGAATCATGGGAACTTTACCAAAGGCCTGGGAGGTGAAGATGGAAGACCTGAGGTAGGCAGCCCTGCACAGATAAATGAAAGGAAGAGGCCACTGGCACTGGCCTGCTCAACTCAGAACAGGACTGGAGGTTTCCCCTGGGCTCTACACCATGTGATACCCATTCTTACCACAGTGAGAAGACACAGACTGTTCCTGCCTCAGCCCTTCTTGATCTAACACTATAACCTGGCCTGCATGATATTCTCCTGGAAATCAAACAGGCACTCAGATGTAGCACCTCACCATGTCTGCCCTAATCTGCTGGCTACTACTGTCACCCATAGTCCAGCAGCCTGTCCTACATCCCTGGTGCTGTCAGGCCAGCATGAGGAAACCATGGTTTAAGTGGCAAATAAAAACACTTGCATCAAGAACTGTGTGAGTCTGTTATAGAAGGGGAGAATCCTGAAATGGAGACTCTGGAGCCAGAGGGGGAGGGACAGAAGTTCCCCAGGAAGGAGGCATCAGGGTTGGCCTCTACTGCCTTCTTACCCCATTCCCTGGAGCTCCTATGACACAGCCTTGTTCTTCCAAGGCCATGGGACCCGAGAGGGACAAGACGGTTTTGGCAGGCAGTCCTGATCCATAGGGAAGAACAGGAAGGCTGCTATGATCAGCCTAATACAATGGGCACTGGGCCCATGATCCAATCTTCAGCCAAAGCAGTGAGACCAGCTCTTTAGATGGCTTTTTCACCCTTATGGGCCCACCATCCCAAGGTGCCATAATGGCTAGACCAATCATTCATAAGTGTTAGCATTATCCTTTGTTCCCAATGGCTTGGAAAACTTGTGAGGGTTTTCCCTACTATTCTGGTTCCATTTCAGAAGAAGCATACTATGTATTCATTAGTTTCTTCCTCCCCTTCCCTATCCCACAAGCTAGATCATCCATCACTCCGAGTCAGGGCTGAATAGGGCAATGGTATGTACACAGGGCAGGCTTGCCCTCTGGTGGCCAAGAAGAAAAGCCATTCTCACTTAAGCATAATCCACTTCTTATTCCAAAGCCCTGGAGCTAGATGATTTTGACATACAAAATGTTTTTGTTTTTTCGGAAATAGGGAAAATATGGTCCCTAGTAAGGACCATAAAATCTCATAAAAGGGAATAACATTTCTGCAACAAATATTCACACTAAGAGATACATATGAATAATAATAGCATCATATCAATATAGACTCAAGTAAGGTTTTGAAATGAGTCATGAAAATACTTTTGGTTTTCCAAGCACTGGAACTGTGGAAGTGAAAGACCTGTAAGGAAGCTCTACTAGGGGAAAAGAGCCCCAGCAGCCATGTCTCTGCAACTCCATGGAAACATAGGTTTCTTTGTCCTTAAAACTGCATTCTACCTTCTTTGTCTTCCTTCCCCCAAAGAGAACTGGACAAAAAAGGTCAGAATTGGATTTGTTATTCATACATTTGCATTGATTTAAATACATTACATACAATTTCTACAGTGCATTAGAAGAATGATAATGGGGGCAACAGCACTCTCACAGCCCAGCCTCCACTCCCTGACTGGGGGGACAGGCTTATGGCTGGCAGAGAGACAGGCCATTCTGAGAGTGCCACCAGAAGCCTGCCCCGGCACTCAGGGCCCCTAGCTCTCCCAAAGTCCACATTCAAGGCAGCCTGAGTACAGGCTTCAAGGGAGAGAGGAGACCAGCCAGGAAAGGATGCCCTGCACTCTTGCCTTCCAGACCTTGGACTGGCTCCCTTTTACATTGGACCCAATTTTCTCCTGACTGCAGAGCTGGTCTGAAGCAGGACAGTACAGATGTAGCTGGTAAAGTACCAGGTTCCTCTTCAGGTGCCTCTGGCTCTCCCAGGCACCTAGGTAAGGAGTCTTGCCAGCATGTTTGCATGAAGACGTCTTTTCTGTGGAGGGCTACCCACACTGGGTCCCTGCTGGCTCCTGTGGTCAGGAGGCAGGTATTCTCTCAAACCTGGTTCCCAAGGCCAGAGTCCAGGTGGGCTAGATGGGATTGTCAGGGCAGGGCAGGCAGGGGAGTGGTGCCTTTGTCCTCAGGGCATGCATATCTAGCACTGAGATGCTTCCTGTCAGCTGGTGGAAGCCCAGGACAAGCTGGCTCCTGGGGGGCTGGAAGGGATGGGAAGTGGCCTAGCCCAACTGACAGGAGGGCTGCATGTCTTTGCTTTGCATCCTGGATGGTAGGAGCTGTTCAAGCAGAGTGCACACAGCCATAGTCCTCACTCCCTTTCTTTGGTTGTTTTTCAAACCTTCAAAATACTTTCTTTCCAAGGCTGATTGACCAATCGCAGGGTGCTAGAACCACAAAGTGTCCATAGCACATGAACACAGCTGCCCCTCACCACAGGTGACACCTTTTTACTCCCTCCTGAGGCCATTCTTTGCTTTGGTGTAGAAAGGGCTTGAACACCTGGCAAGCAGGGCATCTGGGGAAAAGACACATAAAAGCAAGAAGATGCACACTGAGCTGGGCAGGCACTGGGGGACAGTTTGAAGACCTTTCTGCTTTGGGCCTTGCCTTTCTCAAGAAGCCAGGGACAAACAAATCCAGGATAATAAGCCAGGGAGAAAAGGGAAACTGTCAATTACGAGGCAGAATGCAAGTCTGGTTGCCAATACAAGCAGAAGTGGGAGCACATAAAGAAGTCCAAGGACCTGATGATATCCTGTCCTCTTATGAGCTGAGACCACCCCAGAGCGATCCATTCTACAACCTGAACAGAACTCCTAAGTCAAAAAAGCTAGGGGGAAATATTTAAAACAACAAATTAGAGAAGGACTGGCACTAAGGATTCAGGAAGCAAGGCTGGGAAAATTCACCCATAGGCCACTTACAGCTCCCAGTGTGTACCTAGGCCATATGGCTCACAATCACGTGCTGGGCATCAACTTTCTATTAAAACAGAAATTCTAAGAGTAGCCCCTCATGCCTCTGCTTGAGTGATAGGCAAGCTGCATCAGAGCAGAGAGCAGAGAGGTTCTGTAGATCATATGCAGAATCACTGAGAGCTGCAGAGCAAAATCCTGCGCACCACAAGAAGCCAGCCTACTGCCAATAGGAAGAGAAGGAAAAGATTTGGCAAAAACCCAAAAGGAAGCTGTGGCTTCTGTCTGTCCCAGAACTAGGAGCCACCCAGTGGCCCTGTAACACAGCCTTGGTTCATTGGAGTAAGCAACTGCCAGGCACCTGAATGTCTGGGTCTATGCAAATTTAGGTCTGGATTAAAGGCTTCTGACATGAGAGGATCTGGGTTCTGCTACAAGCATTTAAATTTGTTTTTGTTGTTGTTTTCTGATGCAGAATATAATAGGGAATTACAAAGGAGCAGGGTGTCAGGGAGGTAGGGACTTTCCCAGCCTGCCACAGGAGATGTTGGAAGGAAGGTGCTCCTTCTAGCCACCTGGACTTCTGGCCTGGAACTCCAGCCTCCCCTCAGAAGGGCCCAAGAGCACTCTGGTCCTTGATTGTGCTTCTCCCTGTGGGTGAGAAAGCCCTGAGGGAGGTGACTTTGAGCAGAGAGGGAGGACTGGTAAAGGCTGCTCTCCACAGGCTTCTCTGGCTTCCTTGTACCCAGCTCCCAGGCATCCTCCCAGCCCGTGTCTCACACAGCATTTCCTCTGCCTGCCTCTAGGGCTACCACCATGAGAAGAAGGGCTTCCGACTCTGAAAGCTCTGTGTGTAGGACTCGCTAGCAGACCGCTGGTGGGATCGGGCAGTCTCAACAATCACAGGTGGCATCTGGACCAGGTGCAGAGGACTCTTGTTGTCTTTCAGGGCCTGGGTCAGATTTAGGATCTGTAGTGGGAAAAAGGAGACAGATGAGAGAGGCCTGGGATTCCAGATCTTCCTCTGCAGACAGGCCAGCAGACAGAGCACTCCTATAAATCAATAAAAAATAAACACACCAGCAGGTGCCTTGGCTCACACCTATAATCCCAGCAACTTGGGAGGCTAAGAGGATTGAAAGTTTGAGGGCAGTCTCAGCAACTTAGCAAGGCCCTAAGCAACTTAGCAAGACCCTATTTCAAAATAAAAAATAAAAAGATTTGAGATCTAGCTCAATGGTAAAGTTCCCATTGGGTTCAATCCCCAATACCAAATAATAAAAATAAAAAATAAACACACCAATGGAAAATCATACAAGTAGACTATAAAAATAGAAATACAAAGGGACAACAAACAGAAAATGGTAACCTCTCTAGTTATTTTAAAAATACAAATGAAAAGCCAGGCACACTGGCCCGTGCCTAAAGTCCCAGCACTCAGGAAGCTGAGGCAGAAGGATTACTTGAGTCCAATAGTTTAAGCCTGGGCAGTATAGTGAGATCCATCCCAATTAAAAAAAAAAAAAAATGAAAACAAATACCTCCCCTATTTTTTTTTTGCCCTTCCATTTAGTAAAAATAGTGATGATGACTCAGAGGTGGGGAGAACTCAGTTAAATAGACAGGTTTGTGACCTCTTTTCCCTGTTCTATTTCAGATTTCTATGGGGTAGAGGTTCATTTTGCTTTGGTATGTGAACAGCAGACAAGTACAGGTGTGAATGACTTCTTGCATGTTGGGAGAAACTAGATGCTTATAGAACCTTACAGTGTTAAGGAGTAGGTATTTAGTTATGTGAAACTTGCTTAAACCAGACTCAACTTGTCTCTCTCTTTTTTTTTTTTTTTTTTTAATGTGGTACTAGGGATCAAACCCTGGGTCTTTTGCAAGCTAATCATACGATTTACCACTGGGTTACATTTCCAGTCCTTGACTATCATTTTGAAAGGTGAATTGGCTGAGTATGCAAGACTAAGCATGATATTAAGCTTATTCTTTTACATTGAATTCTCTGACAAGAGTAAATCGTGATTTTTAAGGTGACTTTGAGGGAGGTGACTTTGATTCTGCCAGCCTAATTAGGTCCTAACTTTACTTAGGAAAGCTAGGAAGACCACATTACAGTTTTCGGACAACTATAATAATAACAGTTCTTCAACCATTTCATTTTCAGGGAAAATGGACTCAATGAGCCCAAGAGGTGCTCTCAGCAAAAGCCCTTAGCTAAATGGTAGGAAGAAGTAAATGTATGATTATGTCTGGGAGAACCATACTATCCTTTAAAGATGTGAGAAGTTAACTTTCTATATATAAAATCATAATTACAATAGCTATCATGTATTGAGTACTCCAAGTACTACTATACCTTTTTCAAATAATTTATCTCATAATAACCATAATGAAATAATTATTCATTAATTCCATGACACAAATGGAGAAATGAAGTGAAGGAGACATTAAGGAATGTGCCCAGGTTGGCCTCATAGGTAGTAAATGGCACAGCAAGGCATCAAACCCAAGCAGTCTAACTGGTTTGTGCCCTTAAC